ACGTTGGTGATTTTAGCCCTATTTCTAATTTAAATGTCCCCAAGACTCTTTCTTCTCTTTAAGCATATGCATAATTCCTGAGTAATTATTAATTTTTTTGTCCCCAAACTTTTTGTTGTTTTTTTTGGGGGGGTGGAGGTAAAACCAGTGTCATTACCATGTATATATAATATTTAAGTACAGAATATACATAAAAAGTATATATATTTTGAAAATAATACATTACATTATTATATTATATTTTATACATTATAAAAATAATATATATTATAAAAAGAAAAAAGCAAACTTAGAAAAAGTGAAAAATATAGGGTTCATAAATTGTCAACTATTTATTTTATGGCTGCAATATACTTCATAATAAATCCAAGTTTATAACTTGGAATATATAAAATGTTCTCAAATGGTTTGCAATGATTAATGTCAGCACATTTGTGTAGTAAAATTTTGCCATTATATAGAGACTGCTCCTGTTAAACTATTTCTCCTTCAGTTACTGCACTGCCATTATTTTCAAGTGTGTGTGCCTATTAGAAATATAATTTGTCATATCACTTTAATGATTAACAAAAATCTCTTTAGCAGTAATATTGATCAATGGTAAATACATACCATTATTGAACTGTAAACTTGTTTTATTACCCCTTAATGCCAGCAACAGTGAAATGGAGAAGTAAACTGAACGTGCAACCCAAATATTGTTTCCATGAAAGAAAAAGGAGTTTTACTGCCCTAACATTAATGGAAACTGGACGTGTGGCTTCTGTGCTTTAGAGGATATTATACCAAAATGGCGTATCTGTGTGAACTCCATACATCTCTTGAGAAGAAAGTGTAATTCTGTGTACTAGCTCTTCAAAGTCCAGGGTCCTCAGAAGTACAGCACAGTATTTAAGTAACAGTGTATGGATATTGCTGTTCCACTATGGCTACCCGCGTGAGCCAGATTAAAGCTAACTTGGGTATGTCTGCAAATGCTGCAGTCAAACTCTTATTGGTGACTTAAGTATAGCTCAAACCCTATGAACATGTTTGTGACTGTCAGGCTCATGCACAATTACCATAAACTTACAGTGAGAGAGCGAAAACAGCAAGAGAAATGATTTTTTTGTTGCTTTGGATGTTTGTTGACATTTTAGTGGTATTTTGTTACCTACTTGAAAAGTTGTAATGACGCCAATCATACCTCACCATTTATTTTTGGATTACAAAGTACAGTACCCACAGGATTTGTTTTCTGCTTAGATTCAACTAACCAAATCACAGTGCTCTTGCTCTTATCTCTGTCTCTGTTTAGCCAAGTGTTCAATTTAAGTATATACCGGGAAAGTTCAGTGCTCTTTCTAAGGTCATGTGGACTCAAATCACTTTATATATATTTTAGTAGCACGCATTTTGTAGAGCTGTATGTGGGTTTTCTCCCCTGCCCCCCAACTGTAACAGCTTCAACTGCTGGAATTCAAACCGTGCTGTAGAATGCTTATTCCATTACTATTGCAGCGTGCTTTCTTTTGACAGAATCTCCATCAAAATCTATATTATTAGGAATACCATTTCTTTGCTTGAAGAGCACAGGTTACTCTGCCCAATTGAAATGCAAAATGTTTCTTTGTTGTCTTTGAATTTAATAAGTTTACAAACTCCCTTTGATATGTGTAAATATTTCCAGGGAGATGGACCCTTCCTTGGCCTACAGTTTTGTCTTTCCTCCCTACATAGAACAGAAAAGGGAAGGGAAGGGCCAGCCTTCCTTCTTGCTTTCCTCCTTTTATTTATTAACCACAAAAAGCTGCTTGTTGCTTCATCTCTGCCTCTTTACCCTGAGAGGGTTTTTGTTATAAATTCTTATTTAACTTGCAGTAGCTTTCAGCATAGCTTTTAATGCATGTGCAAGGTGAGAGTGCGGAATCTAGTTTCAGTAAATTTATCTTAGATCCATGAGACTGCTTTGTGCCTTTCAACTCTTTGTACGAGTATCTCTACGCATCCAGTTCACGGGACAGGCCTAGAATGCTTACTAGGGTTATGATATTTCCAGTATGGATTTTTTCATTAGGGTTGTCAGTTGCAACAAAAGCCTTCACCATCTGCTTTCTGATAACAGCAAAGTTCTTAAGGAATCAAGCTGATGCAACAAGCTTATTTAGGGTTCTGTTCTTTATCAAATTATGGGCAATAGCTCTTATACTTTTCTTATACTTTCATTTAACTGAGGCTCAGGATAATTAAACAAACACCATCTTTCATGCCATTCCCCAAAGACAGGTTTTTTTGAAGACATTTCTGAAGTGTACAGAACCATACCTGGTCACATCACATGAGATTGTGATAGCGTTGTAAGCAATTTAAAGGCTGGGTAGATCAATACAGCACTCCCTTGCATAGCTAGCTGGCAGCTGAAGGCCAAAGTCCATCTTTTTCCAAGCAAATACCTAAAAGCGTTCATACTGGTGATGTTCTCCTGTGACATTTTGTCAGTATTAAGTGACCAGAAGAAGAACCACCACCACACTCGCAGAGATGTTCTGCTTCTGTCTTTACCTGTCTATAAAGACAAGACGATACCTGCTTCCATCCTTGGAGGCGAAGAGCACCTAAGGCAATGTTTTGGTTTGGTGGTAGTCAAGAAATGAGTTTGATCTTAACAGAATATTTTTGAGCTTAAAGCAATTTGCTTAGTTTGTGATCAGTTCTGCCTCCAACCCAGGGCAATGCAAGACAGGTGATGAGAGACAACGCTATGGCAATGCGTAATGTGAATAGACAGGGAGAAACTAGATCATTTTCACCATGACAGGAACCTGTCTGTTTATGGAGTCATGTTATGCTGACAGCCACTCAACTGCCAGGATTAATGAACAGTGTAGAACATCGGTTGTGAAGATACTTCTTTTCTTTCTTTTCTTCCCCCTGTGTCCATGTATGGTCACGGAAAAGATACAATAGATTTTGCAGGGAATGTCAGTCATGCATGCTTCCCTTCTCTAAAAGCCTGGAAATTTAAGATCTCTGAATGACTTCGTGATCTCTGGGTTCCTGGTGTTTGTGGACTACAGCACGCCTGCTTTCTGATTTAAAGATGGGGAACATGTTCAGATGAGAGATTGCAGTATTCATTGCACCTCTTTGGACTAAAGAATTCTGGTTCTTGAATCTGTTAAGACTCCTGTTAGTGAAGATACTACCCCTTCCGTGGAGGCAGAACATAATGTCCCCAAAGTACGCGAGCACTTCGCCTAGATCCAGCCTCTCTGCATTTTTACACTTCATCTGGGACTTTGACTGTTAGAAACATGTTTGTTTTCCCATAATGGTGGCATAAAAGAAAGTTTTGCTGGTGGCAAGAAAAGATGAAGAATGAGGAAACTTCAAGCCTCTCCCTGCATGGGTCTGGGCACCCTTTCCTAAGCCCTTCAGACTTCTGGCTAAGATTGTATATGGCTTTGCCTGAAAGAAAGAGAACTGGCCACTTCTTTGGCAGCAGCCATGTAGATGAATCTCTGACTATCTATCACCAGTTGGCCAACTTAGAGCCTTCTGATCAAACCGTGGTTTGATCCCTGGGCCTGTATAGCTTCTGTGACTACTTTTAGAGTATTTTCAGCCCTGAGGGTCTCTTCACATACTCACAAATGGATTTCCTTTGCAAGGCAAGTAGACTAGAGCGCTTTTGGCAAAACTCTGCCAATCTGTTCTGTCTTCTATAGAACTCTCCCTACCTGGGAATCACCTGTAGGACAATCTGTAGAGACACTTGCATCAAAGAAAAAAAAAATCTCTTTCTGTAATTATGGTTCTTTTTGAGTGTGTTATCCATACATTTCACTATTTTTCTTTGCCACGCTTAAAGAATGCTGGACCTTGCATTGGTGGAGAAGCTAAGAAACTGTTCTGCTCATGACTTTTGCTTTTGGGAGGAACTTGAGAGCACAGCAGCAAACTCTGCTTGCCTAAGAAATCTTCAATCACGAGCATAAAGAATTTCTCTAAGGAGAATAGAGGATGGGAGGGGTGAACAATGAGAGTTCATTTTATGCAGGCCTAAACCAGTATTGGACAAAACTGTTGTGTTTTTTGCCTGTCATGGTTTGTATGCCAAAAGCTCATAGCTCATTGCATTTGCAGCAAAAGATTATATATGGAACCGTTGGGAACTTTTTCAAACATTTTCATTTCTGTCCTTATTAGCTGCAAAAGGAAATATGTTTCAAAGGTAAGGTGAGATTCTTTCGGGGGTTTCAACAATATTCTAAACTGATGTTGGGGTTCTACCAGAGAACTAGAATGTAACTAACTCAACTGTTTTTCTTCCCTAACCATCAAACCTCACTTGCTTATGATATGAAAATCCGTATCTGCAAAACTGTCTTCACACGTCACCAGATGTATTTCTCCAGATGTGCTGTGTTGGTGCAAAATGTATTATGACATTTTCTTTACATCTGGTATTTCCTTAAAGATTTAGTGTTGCTATATCTGTCACTGATTGCGTGTCCATCTGTAGTAGGCTGATTTCAGGTGAGAATTCTGTGTTTCTAGGTAAGGAGGCTTTTCTTCAACAGATGCTCCTGTACCTGTGATTTCTTTTTTTTGTTTTCCTTGTATCCCACATATTTTGCCTAGTTCTTGGTCTTGCATGTTTCTGGTTTTGTCATAGTAAGTGGAAAAAGGGAATGCTCAGGTCTAGAGGTGTATTCCTTAATCCATTTCTGTTTCAACTCTAGTGTTACTGCAAGAGTGGAAGTGAAAGACTGCTTTGGTGTGGGGGGAGGTAGTTTTAACCAAGTGAGGCAGAATACACCTGTGTGCGTACTGAAGTAGCTGGAACCAGGTTATTTGAGAAGTTGCTGTAGGCTGAAGTAAACTTTGCTGTCATCCCTTAAGCAAATAACATGAAGTATTGAAATAGAAGGCGCATGAAAAGCAGTAACTTAGAATAACGTGCCCTCTTGGCAGAGGGCAAAACTAGGCATGGCCATTTCCAGAGCTAGGATGGATACAGAAAGGAAGCAACTCGTCCCGTGTCCCCCTCCCGTGGGACCACCCGGGGGCGGAGGAGCGCTCGTGGTGCAGGGGCGGCTGCGGCCCCCATTCCCCGGCCGTGCGCTGCTGCCTGCTTCTCCCGTCCCGTCTCGTCTCTTTCTCCGGCTGGGGCCATCGCGGCCGAGCTCGCAAAAAGGGCAGGCGAGGGAGGAAG